CACATACACATAGGCCCCGGTGATTGCCACTAGACCTTATATGCATAAAAACAGATGATGCTTTTGACCTTGTGACGAATACATTTTGGAACCACATGCAAACCCACATGACAACGATGACATGATTTAGAGACAAGCTTGAGACTGTACACATTGTACATTTTGCCGAACCATCTTTCTTTTTTTATTTTTCAAGTATCCCGTCACTATATGATAGGTGGTCTAACCAGAACATTTTCACACCGTGTGAAAAGCTGATTTCATTCATGTATTTTTCAATTATTTTGTAGGATGGGCTAACAAGGACATTTGCACACGCATGTGAGACCTCGTAGGGCCGAGTGTGAAAAAAATTAAAATGAATTCTAACGTCCGGCCAATCAGACCACCTAAGTTGTCCGGCCGGCTCACTCATGAAAACAGCTTGCGAGCCTGGTTGTATATCATGTTCCTCCAGTCACCCAAAAGTTGACCTAACCGATGAGTGTACTGCCGCATGCAGTTGAGTTGAAGGAAGAATCTCAAATGAGATGAGAGTTTATTTTACTCAATCCGAGCATCGTCGCCTTCCATTTTATTTATTCAGATGCCGAGTCTGTCATTCAATCTTCTTCTGTGTCTTGACCGAAATATACCTTAAGGCTCCAACCCAAAATATTATTTTTTTAGTACAGTGATATATTTTTACATTAAGAGAAGAAAGAGTTCGACTAAACCACACAATGAGCAACCTAATTTGGTATCGAATTCTCCATCCACGTGATTCGAACCTAAAACTTCTACAAATGAAAATGAATACTACCAGATCGTAATACCGAATAACAACCCAACCTATCTTTAAAATAACCCCATATTTTATTTTATCTTTTTTTCTTTGCCCTTTCCCTTTTCCCTTAAGACTAGTTTACTAGTCTAAAGTGGTCATAGGATAGCAAATAATATTTTGTAACAAATAAGACAAAACCGTTGTCGTTATTCATGACTTTAAGGGGACCATTATATTAGAAAAGCTTACAAATTAATTTTGTTGATTAATGTTGGGTAAATTATACTTTCATACTTCAGGTTTGAAGTCTATTTCAATTCCTTACAACATTTTCAAAACATTTCACTTTCATACCTTAATTACTATTTTATTTGAAAATAATACCTCCGTTACATTTTTCATCTATTGATCCGTTAAGCGCTGACGTGGCTGCCAAATGTGTGCCAGGCGGCAAATTTATTTATTTTTTTTTTTATTTTTATTTTTTTTTAACTTGAATCTTCTAAAAGAAAAGAAGAAGAAGAAAAAAAAAAAACCCAAAACAAACGCAACCCCCACTTTGTCTTCCCTCCCTATCCCCCACCCAACCTGCAACCCAGAAGAAGAAGAAGTAGGAGAAAAAAAAAAAAAAAAAAAAACCCATCTTCATCTTCCCCGACCCCCCTTCCTTGCAACCCACCCCTTTCTTCCCCCTCCCGTCTTCCCCAAACCCACCGCACCTATCCTCCACGTCCTCCTCCGCACCCACCCTCGCACCTCACCCTCTATGAATTTTTGGGATGGGTTTTTATATTTTGTTCCCCTCCTTTTCTGGGTTGCAGATGGGAAACATGAATTTGTTGGGGGGGGGGGGGGATCTGTAAGTTTTTATATTTTTTTCGTTGAAGATTCAAATGGGATTTTGATCAGGGGGTGATGGGATCTGGGTTTCCTAGGTTTTTTATTTTTTTTTGTTTGTTTTTTTTTTATTTTTTTAATTTTTTTTTGTGTTGAAGATTCAGGTTTTTTTTTTTAAATTTAAAAAAAAAATTTGCCACTTGGCACACATTTGGCAGTCACGTGGCACAAATGTGGCAGCTACTTCAGCACTTAACGGATTAATAGATGGAAAATGTAACGGATGTATTATTTTGAAATGAAATAGTACTTAAGGTATGAAAGTGAAATGTTTTGAAGATGTTGTAAGGAATTGAAATAGATCACAAATCTGAGGTATGAAAGTGTAATTTACCCATTAATGTTTGTTTAATTTGAAGTGGTACAGCTGAGCAAATGCAGCAGCAAGCAATGCCTTTGTTTGGGGAAGGGCATGCATGCATATCCCTCGCTTCACACTCGACAGTCGTGGGCTTTTAGTTTCAAGTTTTGAGATTGTTTAACAAACCACGATTGTAAATGCAGCAGCTAGTGTAATGAAACTGAAAGTCTCAAAGATATACTCCTAATGTTGTTGGGCTTGAAAGGCTGATAACATAACTTTCTTTTGGCTTGTTTGGAAAATATTTTAAAATCAATTAAATGCGTTTTTAGAGAAAATATTTATGAGTTTCAAAAGCACTTCAAGTACATTTTGCAAGAAGTACGTAATTATTAAGGATTGATTTTAAGAATATTTTTTTTAAAAGCGCTTCCAGTCATCGAGTGTAATTATTATGCATTGTTGGTAGTACAATTTTTTTTTTTTTTTTTAACAAATGATAGCAATAGTGGATTAAATTATTAGTTGTTTGGGAAGAGGGAGATCGGTGAAGATCAAACCCACGCCAGAATGCATAGATATGATTATTTTATGATCATATGAACAATTTAATTACACTTTGGTCAAATATGCGTTAATAATACAATCAAATGAACAACTTTTAATCACACTTTGATGCAAAAGTAACACTTCTTTCTACCATTGTGGTAGAGAGCCACTTGCACATTATTCCCTTGTTGAATATCTTTAAAGATCTCGAAGTACTCTTATTAGCGTGATTGACTCCTTTTCTTTCTTTTTATTGGTCGGACCGCATGTGTCGACCTCATGGGTATTGATTGTATTACCTTAGGGCCCAATGTTTCCTGAGGTTGGGTTGCGAGTAAGAAGTCCAACCTCATGTATGACGGTCTCTCAAGGCCCAATTACGATGGGGTTGGTTTCACAAACAATTTAGCATGTCTCATCTTATTCAGTGAGAATTGTTATTAGCATTTCAAAAACCTCATTTGTTACTTCAAACTTTTTATAATTAGAAAGAAAAATACACTTGTGAGGAGTGTAGAATGAGATTTTTGGAGTGTTAATAACAATTCCTTATTCAGTTACATTTTCATTATTTGAGTTAACCCCTAATGGATAGCAGAAAACATTCTTTGTTGAGAGTAGAAGAAACAAAAACGTAGCAGTAGATTATTTTGAACTTTTCAATAAAATTTCGCGGAAGATTTTCTATAGAAAACACTATTTGTTAAGAGTAGAAGACTGCCTTCTTCAGATTTTCTCACTCCCTATCTCTCTCTCCTGCTTCCTCTTCTTTTTCTTCTTTTTCATATTGTCCCCTAAATTTTTGAGGTTTTTTTTTTTCTAAGAATGATTGAGATTTTAGATTTTCTATTTATTTTGGTATTTTTTTGAAAACATTTGTTTTTGAGATTTTGATTGATTTGGATGCATGAATTTTGAAACTGATCTTGTAGAAGTGTAGGAATTTGAAACTGATCTTGCAGAAATGATGAAGTTTTGAAATTGATCTCGCAGAAATGCTAGAATTTTGAAACTGATCTTGTAGAAGTGAAGAAAATTTTGAAACTGATCTTACAGAAGTGATTGAATTGCAAAACTGATCTTGCAGAGTGCATAAATATTTACGAATCTAAAATCAGTTTGAAGTTTTTACAATGATGTCAGTTTGTAACTTTAGGTTGGTTAAGTAACAAGTCTATTAGAGCAAGTGCACCGGGAGTGGATTGCCCGGCACCTAGCACCCAAAACAGGCTAACCCCCAGCCAAATCACTCCACCCCAACCTAATAGGCTGGCACCCAGCTTAAGCCAGGCAAGAGACCGGCCTAGAATCGACAGACCTAATAACCGGGCCATCTGACGTGAGTAATCCCGTGCTTGGCGGCCACGACAGTGTTGGCCGTAGGGGCATTCACCACCAAAATAAGAAACCCCAATAACACCATTCATCCATCACCTTGCCGCAATCAAATCTCACCCCAAAATAAGAAACCAGACTTGTACCTCCAGGAACGACACCCAAACAACCCAGATCATCCACACACCCATCCATGCCACCCCAAGACTTTCACTTTTGGAATTTCACTGTGGAATCCGACCGTCTACGCTCTTACCCAATGTAGTGGACCAGGATCGAGACTGCTTTCGTCGACAAGTCCACTTGCCGCTGGACCAGGACTTGTTGAGCTATGTGACGGTGACTATGAGGATAAAGGGGCTGGGAAAACAAGGCTTGAGATGAAAGGGTGGGGATGGTGAACAGGCCCGAGCATAATATTTTTATTATTATTTTATAATAAAAATAATAATATCTTAATAAAATTGACTAGGCTATTCTTTGTTAGGGGTGGAGATGCATTTGGCCTATTACTGTTCATTGGCGTCTATCACTATTCACTGAGTGAATTAAATAGGTTGGATGCTGGCGCATTTTTTTAGGGGTGGACTTGCTCTTAGGGGGCATGGCTGAAATTTTACTAGTTTTGTGGTAGGTTGATGGGGTTTGGGCCTTTGTCTCTTTTTGAAATGATTTAAAACTAGCAAAGTTCTATAAACTGTATTTTGTGTTTTTGTAAAGCTCTTTAATTTTAACTCTTCAAAAGTATATTTGTATAGTTAATTCACGTGGCATCATATGATTGGATATGGAGGACCAATTCGTGTACCACACCAACACTTAACATAAATTTCAATGGTAAGACAACGGAAGGACCAAATTGGTTTGCATGACACATTTTCAGGGACTAAATTGATGAATTTACTATTTTAGGGACTATTATGATTGAAATGTCAAATTTCAAAGACTAACGGTGATAAAAACCCTTATCCATTATTTTTAAGGTTTTTGTTTTTCATATTCTTGTGATTCTATGTGTTGAATGGACTGCCTTCTTCAGTAACTTACCGACCATATCTTCCTCCTCAGGTTCATAAGATTTCTTTTCTATTTACTATTGTTTAAGGCGTGTCGTATTGTTGTGATCCTATGTGTTGAATATCCAAAAACAAATTACATGAAGAAACAATTATGTTACAAAACCCTTACATAATTATGCAGCAATCTCGCAATCATATAACTCTCTCCCCTTTTCAATCACAAAGATTTAATACATCAACAGGTACCTAACCTATATACTTAAATATTTAGCTCACAGAACACACTTGTATGAAACTTGACTTTGTCGTAAATTAGGAAGGAAATTTGAAAAGAGATATCAAGAACGAAAGGGCCCCATTTTCTCCCAAGTTCCACATTCCTCTCCCCATTTCTGCTCAGTTTCCCCCTCCCCTTCCTAGTGCAGGCATTCCTCCTCGTCATGTCTGGCTCCGCCACTCCAAACCGATGACTTCGGAACGTTAGAGCTTAATTAGGTAATTAACTAAGTAGCATCAGAGGATGAGAGAAGGGGTTCATGTTGCCTTCCTTCTTCCAACTGTTCGCCATCTGAAATTTGATTGGATGGTTTTGCATTTCTGTATATCGCATATAACACTAGCTGCGTCGTTCCCAGAAGAAATCCTATCCCGTTAGGTACCTACGTACAACCATGCATGCACAAACCCACATATATATATCGATCATCACATACTTTCAAAGATTACTTCACTTAACTGGGGAGGAGGGATACAAATTATGGATTAATTTTTTTTTATTTATAAAAGAAAAAGGATATATATTTACCCCAAGGAAAACATCTTGAAAGAGCCAAGCATAAAATGTCCACACCCCTCCGTTGAGGAAAAAGAAAAATGAGAGGAAGAATGGCATGTACTCCACACTCTTGGTTGTTACCACTGTTTTCTGAACATAATACAAACAATATGATATGTTAGGAGTTCTAGTATGTCTGACGTACATATACATTAAAGATTTAACCGCCAGATACTCAGTAAAAAATCTAACGACAAAAAGTCTAATAGTTGAAAATTTTCGTGTATAAATTACATTGGAGCAAAGAGAATTTTCGTAACATGTTCATCTATCTGAATTTCATGAATCATGTCACGCCATATAAAGAGGAGCATGAAGCATCAAATAATGCATGACTTATTTTCCAAACCTGCATGAAGCAATATAGGCCAAATATGGCAGGTGATACGTTATAGCTTAGGGCCACATACAGTCACTTTCCTAGCAAAGGTAGAATCTGGTCCGGACGTTCTATTTTTGATACAAGCAAATATAGGAGGGGAGCTTGGATGTAATGACAAATGTTCTAACATATTTTGCTCTTTGGCTTTATTAGTTAAATATTTAAATGTATTTATATTGCATTTATTCATCAACTTATTTTGAAGATGTAACGAAAATCTATAAATATGGTAAATATATAATTATACATCACTTATTCGTCAACAAATAGTTGCTGTTTGGCTAAGCATCTGCTTAGTGCATGTCCTTTTTTTTTTTTTTTTTTTTGAAAAATAAACATTAGTGGGTTAAATTGTTAGTTATTAAGGAGAAAATGAATCGATAGAGATCGAACATGCACCACAATACATAAGCATAATTCTATTCCGTAAGTGGGGTAAACTGCCATCTATATTACATGATATTCTCTCATCAAATTTTAATTGTGAAACAGATACTTGCATTGCTAAACTGTGAAGTCTAAACCACATATTTTTGCACTGATTTGGTAAATTATTCAAATTTCAAATTTGGCAACATAATTATATTTTGTTACACAACACTTTTTGAGTTGGAGGTTGAAATATAAGTATATCTTGTTACACGACAATATAAGTATATTATATAATGGAGGCTGAAATACCTATTAAATTATTTTCGGCATCTAAAATATATATTGTTATGACAAAACTGCCAACTGGTTTTTTTTTTTTAAAGTATATTTTGTTGTGACAATGAAATGTCCTATATATGCAACCGTATATATGAATGGCAGATGTGCGCCCTATATGTGAATGGCCGTTCTGCGAACAGCTAGCTACCACCAAGAAGTCAACAACTACACTTTATTAAAAAAATTATAAATTTTTCAACATTGCACAATGGGACTTAGGTATCAAGATTTTCAACAAAAAGTAGAGTGCACGAAAAGAAAGGGCTTATGATATAAAGGTTTTTTGAAATAGAAAACTAATGAAAAGTGTTTGAATTTTTTGAGTTTTAACTAAAATGATAAAAATGTGTTGTAAGTGAATAGTATTAGGAGTAAATTTTTAGAATAAAAATGTCTTTAATGTTAAAAGTGAATAGTACCAGGAGTGGTTCGTTATACTTCATTTTTTAAAATTAACCTATCACATCGTCACTTAGTACTACGGTTTAGTGGTATTCATCTTCACTTGTAAGTGAGAGGTCTTAGGTTCGATTATCGTTAAAGGTAAATTTGAACCACATTTAAAAAAACAAATTATCCTATCACGTTAAGATGATTTTGAAATTGAAGTTCGAGTTATGTAATTCTTAAAAATAGGTGTCGCAAAATAATGTGATAATTTTATCATAACTTTGTCAAAAGTTCTATTATGTGCTGATGAATTTTATCAAATAGGTTCGATTATCATAACTTTGTCAAAAGTTCTGTTAATGGGACTTAAACATTTTTTTTATTCTCAAAAGTGAATTTGCCATTCACCGGATGAACTTTTTGGTAACCTGAGCCAATCAAAGAGAAGCGGAAGGCTGATGAAGATCGCTTGCTACTGGGACCTATTTCCCTCGGAGGTAGATACCTTCAGGGGATCAAATACAACCTATTTAGACCATCTCCAACCAAAGGTTGGTCAGATGGCTCGTTTTAGCCCTCTGGCCATATTTTAATGAACAGTAAGTTCTGTTAATGGGACTTAAACATTTTTTTTATTCTCAAAAGTGAATTTGCCATTCACCGGATGAACTTTTTGGTAACCTGAGCCAATCAAAGAGAAGCGGAAGGCTGATGAAGATCGCTTGCTACTGGGACCTATTTCCCTCGGAGGTAGATACCTTCAGGGGATCAAATACAACCTATTTAGACCATCTCCAACCAAAGGTTGGCCAGAGGGCTCGTTTTAGCCCTCTGGCCATATTTTAATGAACAGTACAGACCCATATTTGCCTTCATCTCCAACCGAGGGTCAAAGGGTCATAGGGCTCATTTTAGCCCTGCCACAAAAAACCGTCTCCAACCAAAGGTCAAAGGGTCATAGGGTCAAACATAATTTATTATTTAAAAACTACAACTTAAACTCAAATTTAAATCCAACGGCTAAGTACTATAAAAAAAACTACAACATAATTTATTATTTAAAAACAACAACTTAAATTAAATTCAAATTTTGTAAAATAGAAGTTATAGGAAAAAAAAAATATAATTTAGAAAAAATAAAAAACAAATTTTGTAAAATAGAAGTTATAGGAAGTTATAGAGAAAAAAAAAATAGAAGTTATAGGAAAAAAAATTGTGTAAAAAAAAAATAAATAAATAAAACTGTAAATAAATAACGGCTAGCTGACGTCAGCTAGCCGTTGCATTTGAAATTTGGCCTAGAATTCCTATCGGTTATATCCAACAGGAATGCTTGGCCTAGCTCGAGGCTAGCTGGTTGGCTAGATTGGGCCAGCCCTCTGGCCATTTGGCCCTTTCAGATTCCATAGGGCCCATGAGCCCTTTGGCCTAGCCCTTGTTCAGCAACAAAATCAACAAGATAATTGGGTGGGGTGGGAAGGTACCCATCCTGCCCTCGAAAACCCCCTTCAATGACGCCCCATTTTGCCCACTTAGATTGCCTAAAACCGTTTTATAAGGAAGGGCAAAAACAAAGCAGCAGCGGCGGGCCAGGTCAAGGGGAGGAAGACGAAGCAATTTTAAAACAAATCTTAGATCAAAACGATGTCGTCGAAGAATGTGCCAGCACATTTCAAAAAGATGGAATTTGAGATTGTGCAGGTGTGATAAGGGATTTGGGTGTGGTTGTGGTTAATTGGGAGGGAAGAAGATGAACATATTATCTTCATTATTTATACTAAGGAGAGTGGGTGAGTTTAACCTCACAATGAGTTAGTAATAATATAGTTCACTTTCGAACCTAAGACATCTCACTTACAAATGAAGAGAATCATTTTTTAAGTTTTTAATCATATAAAAATAAAAACTGTATTTTTATTAGGGAATTGTTATTAGCACTCCCAAAATCTCATTCTACACTCCAAACTTTCTATATTAGGAAAGAAAAATACACTTGTGAGGAGTGTGGAATGAGATTTTTGTAATGCTAATAACACTTCCATTTCATTATTTAAATAGTTTTAGGGCCATTTAGATTTTTTTTTGTTTTAACAAACAATATTATCTACACTAAGGAGGAGGGGAGTAAGTTAAACCTCACAATGTGGTTCAAATTTGTCTTTAGCGATAATCGAACCTAAGACCTCTCACTTACAAAAAAAGAGGAATACCACTAGACCGTAATACTAAGTGGTAGGGGCATCTAGATTTGAATCCTAAAAATCAACATAACTATTAGGTTAAATCCAGTATTATGTTTTCTCCACTTTTATTTTTTTATATTCATTTTATATATTTTTTAAAAATATTAGACATAAATTAAAATGTTTAATTTTATGCATCTTCTAATGCTAACAAATCTACTTATTATCTTCTAACCAAAACTTAATATACTAACATAAATCCATCTAGTGAACATACTAACTGAAGCAACAGATACATAACTATATATTATACCTATAAGCGAGAAGTGAAACCTAACTAAAAAGTACAAAAGTATAATATACCCACAAGACATATTAATCTGTGATATAGATTGATTATAAAAATAATCTGTCATATAGGTAAATAAATTAAATTAACTTGTGATATAGATTATTACAAAAATTAAAAATAGACGGGGGTTTAGAACAAGGGAAAGAAGAACAAGAAATAACAAAAAGAAAAAGAAATAAAAAGAAATGATTAAAGAGGTGATTAGGAAGAAATTTAATTTTTATCGTAACTCTTATCATTAAAGAGATAATTATTGATAACAAATAATTCTAAACTGAAGGGATTGGACTTATTTTAATAAATGGACTATTTTTAATATATTGGCTTAAAATTTTGGACTTATTTCAAGTTTTTCCAAATTTTTAATGCACATGAAATTATTTAAAACTTTCATACATGAAGTATTTTTTTTTATCCTAGTCTCATACCTAAAGTTACGTTTTTCTCTCAGATTCATACTTCCGTCAGTAGCTCCGTTAAGGTGTAATGTGGCTCCCACGTGGACGATGGATGTGCATCTACTTGTCACTTTGGCCCCACATGGACATTAAAAAAAAAAAAAAGTTAATCCCCTTTAGATATATTTTAAACCCAAAAGGAGAAGAAAACATCAAAACTCATTTAATTCAACTCCAAATTCATCCCAAGCAGATCATCGTCATGGCTTTACCATTTGGACTCAACGAGAAGGCCTCACTGGTGAAATATGGCGGCAAAGAGGCGTATGTATTGAAACCAAAGCTTTTTGGGGTCTAATTTTGGGTCTTTTTTCTCCTGCAAATGGTGGTGTTAGTGTGGCGTCACCAAAGAGTACCAATAAGAATAAGTTGTTGGATTGATTGATTCATCAAACACCAAATTTAAATTTTTTTCATTCAATTTTATTTTCTTTTGGGTCAAAATACATATAGATGAACAAAAATGGCAAACTGTTAAGTGTGCGAGAACGATAGAGAAGTGTGCAGCAAAGGGTTCGGGAGAGGAAGGGGACGACGTGGTGGGTGAAAAAGGGGGGATAGGGGGAGAGCTTGAGGGAATGGTGTCACATCCCAGTCTCATCTCTGTCATAGCACGATATTGTCCGCTTTGGGCCCCAACCACGCCCTCACGGTTTTGTTTCTGGGAACTTACACGAGAACTGCCCAGTGGGTCACCCATCCTAGGATTGTTCTCGCGCGAACTCGCTTAACTTCGGAGTTCCGATGAACTCTGAAACCAGTGAGCTCCCAAAATGTCTCGTGCTATATGGAGGTGGAGATGTACATAAAAGGCACATCACCCCCCACTCTGTTGGTCGATGTGGGATGTTACAATCCACCCCCCTTAGGGACCTAACGTCCTCGTCGGCACACTCGAACCACACGGCATAGTGGTTTTGATACCATTCTGTCACATCCCAGTCTCATCTCCGTCGTAGCACAATATTGTCTGCTTTGGGCCCCGACCACGCCCTCACAGTTTTGTTTCTGGGAACTTGCACGAGAACTTCCCAGTGGATCACCCATCCTGGAATTGCTCTCGTGCGAACTTGCTTAACTTCGGAGTTCCGATGAACTCTGAAGCTAGTGAGCTCCCAAAAGGCTTCGTGCTATAAGAAGGTCGGCATGTACATAAAAGGCATATCACCCCCTATCTGTTGGTCGATGTGGGATGTTACAATTGGTGACGGGGGAAGTTTGGACTCAATCGGTCAGAGGTGGAGGACATGGGTAGGAGGTAGACCTTACATGGTGGTTCCCAATCGAGATTTTGTAGCAGGAGTTGTTGGCGGAAAAGCTCTAGGTTTAGGTCCAGTTGAGGTGGTGGTGGGCGCAAAACGTCGCCGTTGTGGGCGGGAAAGCTGGAGTTGTGGAAGCGCTAGAGATGCTTGGTCACTGAGGTGGGATTGGTGGTGGCAAAGAGGAGGGTTTCTTTGCTTGGGGCAAGAGGGTTTCAAAGAGTATTTTAGTTTAGTTCTTTTAATTTTTTAATGTTTAGGTTGAGCCAAATCGACATCTGGTGCCTAGTCATTATCCACGTGAGCGCCACATCCTGCCTTAACAAAAGTTTTGACGGAAAGCCTACCAAAAGTATTAAAGGGTCCCACAACCCTCACTTTAGGTATGAGACTGGAATGAAAGAAACTTGATTTATAAAAATTTGAAAACCACGATACTTTAGAGTAGTAAAGTGAAAGTTACCCTTGTATTAGAATTATATTTTTAAAATGAAGTTGCGACCAAAATGATATTTAATTAATTTAATTATCATATGATAAGAAGATTATTTGAAACAAATAGGGGCGTATTAAGAATAATTTAGGTGTCGAATGACAAAAAGAAGGTAGAATTTAGGTCTCCTTACCATGGCAACTAGAGGCGATCCGTACATGATGATATTCAAGCCTGCACATATGAATCCTATTGCATCAATACGTGTATCTCCCAGCAATGCCAACCATGTAGCTAAAATGGCTACTGCTAGAAAACCCACATCCAAGGTTCCAATCAAAATGGCAGTTTTTACCTGAAAAATCGAGACACAGACATCATTCTAGATGGTCAGTTAAAATAGTAACATAATTCGAACTTAATATACCGTATTTTAGGCAAAAATCACTATTTGACCACTCAAATTTATAGTTTGGCAAGCCAGCATTTTTCTAATAACTATGAAAATGTTGGGCTTTCATCATAAAATCAGTTTGCAATATCGAAAATAGTCCAACTTCCTATAAGCATTTGCAAAGTTTATTCTTTCAATGATATAGATAACAAAATTAACATGCCATACCCTCATTTTTTCCGGGGCATATTTAAGAAACAAACAAAGGTAGATAATCTCAACAGTAGCTCCAAAACCATTGACAGTAGCCACAAGCAATTCCCCGGGCTTAATGATTCCATAGTAAGTCCACAGGGAGGAGTTGAGCAGTGTGCAAACATAAGGAAGGCTCTGAAAGTCCTCCGTCGATCGGTGTTTTACGATTCTCCAAAACGTCGGACTGCATACAAAAATATATACATTAATAATTAATTAATAACAAACCGTGTGTCTATCGCTCGAAACCCTAACTAAGCTTATTGGATCTGTAGCTCTAATTAGCTCTTTTAAGGATTTGAAGCTTGAAATTAACATGAGATGACTAAGATATTCTTACACAGGAGCAAGGAACATTAGCACTGAGATGATGTTGCCTGCAATATATGAAAAAGTAAACCATGAGGATTACCTTAATTAATTAAAATACAGCATTGCATCCCTAATAATGCAAATTAAAAAGTTTTTATTACCTATGACTCCAACAAAGAAACTCAGGCCTTCCATGTTTATGGAGTTCGACGGACCCCTTAATTAGTTCCTCTTCTCTTTGTATCAGGCGCTAGGGGGAGCTGAGTTTAGAGAGAGAGAGTTTCTTGATTCCAACATAACATATACTATGGCCGTATCAATTTTTAACAATATGGTTGAATAGTAATAATAAAATAATTTTATGGTAGCATTATACTTCCACATACTCGTTGTGCTATCGAATAATTTTTATCTCCTTTTCTTCGGCCAAAAGCTGTGGGTCTATCTACTCAATGGAAACCATTTTCTTGTCGTGGAAAAGTTTTTCTCCACTGTCCAATAATGTGTATTAAACAGGAAGACGTGAGAACCACGTGCTGAACATATAACTTAAAGCTTTCTGGGAAGAATAACGCAGACAGATCATTTGGGTTAATTTCGATATATAAATAGCATATGTAATATCATGATTTTCGTCCTTTTTTATGATCGATCACGATCTTTCTCCTTTATCCATATATTCGGGTAGCAGTGATACTCCTTTTTTTTTCATCTCCTGACACTCTTCCAATTACTTGTTTATTGATTATTCTTTAATTTATTCAATTTAATAATTATAAAATTTGACAAAAAAAATGAATAATATATATATGAGTGCAAAATGTGAGAAATGAAGTCCGGAAATTACACTTATATAACTTGTTTGAAAACAATAAAAAATATTATCAATGAAACCAACTAGTTTAGTCATCAACCACTTTAAAATGTAATGGTTTTTATTCAGTTGGTTGAAGGATATTAAACAAACAGCTCAATAATTAGTTTATTAGCTAGGTTTCAACATGCATGACCTAACCCATCCAGCAAATAAAGAAAAGTGCTTGCAAGTAGCTTGTAGTTCAGTTGGTTAAGAGAATTTGTTTATTTCAGCCTGCATGACCTAACCCATCTAGCAAATAAAGATAAGTGTTTACAAGTAGTTTGTAGTTCAGTTGATTAAGATAATTTGTTTATGCATCTGATGTCATGTTTTCGAATTCCCCTTAATGTAGTTTTGAAAAAAAAAGTGCTTTACAAATGGATTTGTTCCTACAAATACAAATACGTGGTCTTCGTCATTTACTACTTTCGTGGAAATATATATATAAAGAAATTAGGTTGTTATCCTTCTTTTTTTCAATTCCATTGATTGAAACCTTCTTCCTTTTCAATTTTTAATCAAGGTCCCTTGGTTTTAATAAACGTCATTAATTATTTCAATAATAAAATATTTTACATATCAAGATAATTAAATTTTATTTCTAAATTATTCATTTAGTGTTAGAAACGTTAGATTTGATATATTTATATTTATGGCTAAATTTTATATCATATATTTTTATTTTTAGTTTGTACCCATTTTAATTTGCAACCTTTTTTTTTTTTTTCTTTAAATTGTGCCAATTTTCTATTCAGTTTTAGTTTATACATATATATTAAATTTAAATTCTTTTTGTGTCCATATTTTTCAAAATTTTATTTTTACTCATATTTTTTTGACCTTTTATTTGGACCCATAATTTATTAATAACTTTTTTTTTGTAAGTACCATCTCCTTTGTGTAAAATGTGCCCATTGTTTTTTTTTTTTTTTATATATATGAAATGTACCCATTATATAAAACGTATCACTTTTCTTTGTATAAAATGTACCAACTTTTTGTATGTAAAATGTATCGTATAAAAATTACCAATTTTTTGTATGTAAAATGTCATTAATATGAGTAATGACAAATCATGGGTTTTATTTAAGTATAATTTTTTTTTAATATTTTCAACAAATTATGGATTTTATTTAAAATCTCATTAATATAAATTACTACAAATATGAAATTTTAATTTAAAAATTATAATAACCTACATAGAAATGCATTATTGTATTAATTTCACGAATTTCAATGAAAAATAAAAAACCAACAAGATTTCAATAAAAAAACGTTGATAAATAAGGACCACATACAAAGTCACCTTGAAAAATATGGATCCATGTTCTTTTGGGAATCAAGTCAGATTTTTTCCTAACTTTGTTGGCTTGTAATTATGGTTTAAGAATAAGGTGGTCCGAATGAAAGCTTGATTTACAAAAAGTAACATATACATATACATACATATATACATACATACATATATATAAAAAAATAATAGGACGATCTTTCTTTTTCTCTTTATTTATTTGTTGTTTCGGTGTCGGTTGGCCAAATTATTGGCATTGGCGGGCCTTATACTGCTGGAGCACTGGGATCACATGTAACATATGGACATCGATCGGCCATAAAGAGCCATGATATGGATCATCTGGAGATTTTCAACCAGAAAAAAGAAGAACAAGTTGGGGTTTTTATCCCTCTGATATTTTATTAGGGAAAATTAGAATACCCTACATCTTTTCTATAATTGTTATATTAAACATTCATCCCTTTTAAAGATTTGATTAAGATGCTTTCAATTGCCACCTCAATAATTTTCTTTTTATTTAATTTTCATGTCATTAATTTAAATGCATTTATATAGAGGCATAAGGTAACTTAGCAACTAATTGCCTATAATATAGGAATTTAATTTCGAATCCCCTTCTACACATTAAATGATATTTTTTTAATAAAATAAAATAAAATTTTAATTAACTAATTCCTCATTTCCTTATTATCAATATTTAAAAAAAAAAATTCTCTTTCTATTAATAATGTCTCAATAAAAAGTCTTCAATACATTTTTTTTTACGTATAGATATATAAAAAATATACTTAAAACTTATGGTACATTTAAGAACAAAAGTATCGACTTTTGGTACGTTTATATTTCAAATGTACCGAGAAACCAAATGTATGACATCCCACATCGCCCAGGGGAGTGATCCTTAAATGTATATTCCCATCCCTACCTAGCACGAGGCCTTTTGGGAGCTCACTGGCTTCGGGTTCCGTAGGAACTCCGAAGTTAAGCGAGAAGGGGGCTAGAGCAATCCCATGATGGGTGACCCATTGGGAAGTTGCTCGTGAGTTCCTAAAAACAAAACCGTGAGGGAATGGTAAGCCCAAAGCGAACAATATCGTGCTACGGTGGTGGAGCGGGCCCGGGAAGTGATCCGCCCCGGGCCGGGATGTGACAAATTGGTATCAGAGCCTAACCCTGGCCGTGATATGCCGATGAGGACGTCGGGCCCCTAAGGGGGGTGGATTGTGACATCCCACATCGCCCAGGGGAGTGATCCTTAAATGTATATTCCCATCCCTACCTAGCACGAGGTCTTTTGGGAGCTCACTGGCTTCGGGTTCCGTAGGAACTCCGAAGTTAAGCGAGAAAAGGGCTAAAGCAATCACATGATGGGTGACCCACTGGGAAGTTGCTCGTGAGTTCCCAAAAACAAAACCGTGAGGGAATGGTAAGCCCAAAGCGAATAATATCGTGCTACGGTGGTGGAGTGGGCCTGGGAAGTGATCCGCCCCGGGCCGGGATGTGACAAAATGTACCAAAAATTCAAATGTACCATAAAACCAAATGTACCTATTGTTATGTAACCCTTTTGGTACGTTTAGATTTCAAATGTACAGAGAAACCAAATGTACCAAAATTTCAAATGTACCATAAAACCAAATGTGCCCATTGTCAGGTAACCCTTTTGGTACGTTTAGATTCCAAATGTATCAAATGAACAAAAAATCCCAAATGTACCACAAAACCAAATGTCTCTATTAGATAACCCTTTTTGGCACATTTACATTCCAAATGTACCGAGAAATACAAAAAATCAAATCCACTATAAAACAAAATGTGTCCATATTATAGGTAACTAGACGTAGCTGTATAATCAAACAAATCTTTATTATGTGTTGGGTCTTCTAAATAATAAAATCTAACAATTTTTTTTATAAATATTCTACTATATTCACGAAAAAAGTAAAAAAATATAACAAACAATAAAAAAATGCATAGAGATGGATAATAAATATAGGGATAATAGGAAAAGAAAAAAAAATAAAAAGAAAAAGAAAACGAAATGTCTAGGAGAAGTCATGAAAAACTAAAATTCTAAACAAAATTGAACTTACGTGAAAAACTGAAATTAATAACCAAAATTTTAGGAAAATGTTTGATCAAATTTTCAAAAGGAGTGTATGTTTAATCTAAAAACTAAAAAAACAAAGGGCCTATATCAAAACGCCCCTAAAAAAAATTGTCATATTTTATTATTTAGAAGACCCAACACATAATAAAGATTTGTTTGATTATATAGCTACGTCTAGTTACCTATAATATGGACACATTTAGTTTTATAGTGGATTTGATTTTTTGTATTTCTCAGTACATTTGGAATGTAAATGTACCAAAAAGGGTTATCTAATAGACATTTGGTTTTGTGGTACATTTGAGATTTTTTGTTCATTTGGTCTTTTGGTACATTTGGAATCTAAACGTACCAAAAGAGTTACCTGACAATGGGCACATTTGGTTTTATGGTACATTTGAAATTTTGGTACATTTGGTTTCTCTGTACATTTGAAATCTAAGCATACCAAAAGGTTTACATAACAATAGGTACATTTGGTTTTATGGTATATTTAAATTTTTGGTACATTTGAAATATAAACGTACCAAAAGTCGATACTTTTGTTCTTAAATGTACCATAAGTTTTTAGTATATTTTTTATGTATCTATACATGAAAAAAATATGTATTGAAGACTTTTTATTGAGACATTTTTAATAGAAAGATAATTTTTTTTAAATACTGATAATAAGGAAATGAGGAATTAGTTAATTAATTTTTTATTTTATTTTATTTTTAAAATATCATTTAATGCGTAGAAGGGGATTCAAAATTAAATTCCTATATTATAGGTAATTAGTTGCTAAGCTACCTTATGCCTCTATATAAATTGTGACAACCCGTTCCAAATTTTACGTTTTTATTTTATTTTAAAAGCGTGAATTTACGAAATTGCCCTAGAGGAAAGGACTTTGACTTCCGTTGACCATCGACTTGAAAGATGTGGGACTTATTGTTTTAGCATATCCTCGTAGTACTCATTGGTACGAACTTATAGGCGAAAGCCGTTTGCGAGTCCGGATTATAACGGTATAGTTACGGACGTTCGAAATTGGTTATTCAAGGTTAGTGTTTATTTAAATTAAATCCCCACTTTGTGGGGGAAGCCAAATCAGAAATAGAGGGAGAAAAGAAAAAAAAAAAAAAAAAAAAAAAAAAAAGAGGAAATGGGTTTTCGTCC